TGTGTGTGTGTGTGTGTGTGTGTGTGTGTGTGTAAATGTCACGAATGAAATATTTTGTCTTCGGATCTTTTGATGAAGAATGATCGGGGAAATTATTAATATTTATCCGTCTAATTTATGATTTTCATCCACTTAATCACTTAACCACTTTAACTTCAATAAATTTAATTTTTCCAAATTTTTTATTGCATTCAATTTAAATACCTGAAAAAAATGACAATAGGAGAAAAAAAATGAAATACTGACAGAATTGCATGACGAAACACATTTATTAACCTTTAATTCCCATGTAAAGAGTTATATAAGAACTAAAATTGAAGAATTACTTTATTTCATTTTTCAATGTGTCCAAAATCGCATCGATTTTTGCCAGTTTTGCTTTAATAGTCTAAAATTAATTTCCAATTTTTTAATAAATTTTTTTCTCTTCAAGCAATTTTACATTAATGGAATGTTTCTTTGAAATGTTATTAAAAAATATTAGCATCAACTTTTATACTTTTTGTTGATCTTTCCTGAGAATGATCATTTTATTGAGGTCATTACATTGAACCGTTGCTCGATCCAAATCGACCTCTATCTTTTTCACTTCATTTATTGCTTGCATCAAACTTTGCCACTCATTTCTCTTTTCTTCTGCATGTAAATTTATAAACATACATTGTTTAAAGATTGATCTAAATTATGCTCATTAGAATATGATATTATAGAATAGAATAGGTTCAAATGAACCAAATTTATGAAAGTGCTGCAATTGCCAATACTATTCTATTCATTTAATTTCATTTCCTTTCTTTGAACAGAAAATAAAGAAAAACCTAATTTATTGTTAATTTGTATATTTAATTCGTTGATTTTAGTCGATTTTTCTTCGTCAGTCATTATTTGCACTTGCAATGAGGATGATTCTGATTCGCCCGTCTCAGAATTGGAAGACATCGTTAACTGATCCAATTCCTCCTCACTCTTTGATTCATCCGATCGTTGTTTGCTCGCCTTTCTACGAGAACAGAGGGATCAATGCATACAATTCATTCCACGAGAAGATACTAATGAATGCCAAAAATTAGGAAGAAGTAAAATGGGTATGAATTTTCTGTTTCTTCACATTTTTTCACTATGTGAATATTTCTTTTTTCTACTAATAGAAATGAAAACCAATTAATTAATATGCACTAACAATGTACAGATTCGTATACACTGAACTAAATCCAAGTTTCCGGCTCTTGAATCATTCCATATCTTTCTACGATCTTTATCATTTTCTTCTGCTTTCATAGCTTGAATTATGAATCGATGTCGTCGACGATATCTTCTCATATTTAAACTTGTTATTAATATCTTAACACTTTCTTATTGATTGATGGATTAAGCATTAATATGAGAAGGTTAAATCAAGCACTGAACTATCGATGATGTCTCAACATCACCTACATTGACACCTTCGTTGGCAGATAAGAAACCGGTAGCTGGCATAACAATATACCGTGTTGGCTCATTCGTACGAATTCGAAATGCTACACGCAAACAGCTAACATTCCTAAATCAATTTAATGATATTATTTCACCCTGTTTAATTAGTAGCTAAAAATAGATGATAGAATTATTATGATATGACACTATAATAATTAGACTGCCACTTTTCAAATTTTACATAAAAACAAGGATGCTAACAAACATTATATGCAATAAAACGCTGCTCGTTTTAGAATCACCGTGAAAAGTTAGTTGTTTCGGTTTAGCCGTTACATAAATTGGCAAAGTGCTTCCAATTACAGAAGAGAGCGAAGAAACTGCTAAAAAATAATATTTATGAAAGAAAATATATTTCTTCGCATTTTTCAGTTTAGATTGATGTCACAATATTTCTGATATAAAAAATTAATTACAACTAAAATGGGCAATAATGAGATGCGAAGATTATTTCTTCGTATTCATCAAGTGTAAAATTCATTTCGCATACATGATTTCGTTTCAGATGTCGCCATTGAAGAGTTTTAGACTTCCACCGATCACCTTAGCGATAATGATTCTTTCAAAAGTAATGTATATCACTGAAAGTCCACTACATCCATGGTAATGCTTTAATTACATTATATTCACAAGGAACAATTTGGATTTCTCTTGAGTCCCAAGGAAATATTAGGAAGTTTCAAAAGCTTTCATTTACGCTTTGAACTTCAAATTAATGTTCAGTGTATTTCAGTTATTCTTACTGAGTGTTCGATTCTGGAAGAATTTTGATTCTTTAATGTGGTTATAAATCAATTACAAAAAGCCAAAAATTCATTAAGAAAAATATTGACCGTTGCCCCCTACATCGTCACCTACTTTCTTAAAGATTCAACTACATCATTATCAGTAGAGTACAAAATCAATCACATCTTCAAACGACCAAACTGCTCAATAAGAGTGTACGAAATGCAACGACCATACAATCAATTTGTCAACCAATTTTATTACAGTACTTCCTTGATGGAAATGGTGCAGGATAAGCCCTCCCCTTCTCGCAAAAGTAACACGCTTATCCTTTTTCTCTTCATTGATATTTCCAAACATTCATTCTCTGGCGATTTCTCACCAACAACAGTCAGCCCCAACGTAGGTCCATATTGATACATGTATTTTGTTAAAAATTTCTTTTAAAGGATGAAAAAGAGTGCACGAAAATTAGAATGAGAAACTGATTTATTGCAACAAATGGAGAAACATGAAACATATATCTGCTTCCATAAAAGATAAAAATTCCAGAAAACCAAAACGGAAGAAGAGCTTCGGAGAAAAGTGGAGTCTAAACTTTAGAGTATCATAACAACCAAGAAGGAAGGAGAATACATCATCATCAGCAGGAGGTGCAGTAGAACTGTTCACTAGCACAAAAGAAAGTTGGATCAGTTCGAAGAATCGTAAAAAAGAAAATGAGTAGCAACGGGAGAGTGATTCATAAACCGGATTCCTAGGAAAACAAGCATTATCCTAAGCATAACAATGATGAAATATCCAGACTTCACTTTTCTCAATAAACTACAAAATTCCAGTGACAAACATTCCTCGTGACAATGACTAAAAGATGACAATCGCCCCAAAAAGGGTCTCACTGGAAGTGAAGTGAACCGGGGGAAAAAACTAAAAGGCGTAGATATTTTAAAACACCTCCAATATAACCGACACTTCACCTGACAATAGATTGCTATAGAAGCAAAGATATGACAAGGAATAAACAGATGGCAGTAGTACCGATAACGAAAGACAACTGCTAGTCATTTTGATACGTACTGGACCAGAACTGCACGATAATGATAATCAAAATTTGCATGCTACAAAACCGAAAGTTGAAGATGGAAACAATTATATCGTGTTTTTATAGCCTGCTCTAGTTACCTGCATGAACTTATTTCTTGATGGTGCAATATAAATATATAACGGACTCGTGCCCGTGACACAATTTTCCCGGCCTAGGCCGCCATTTAAAATGGATGGCGGTCGACCACACTTGTATATCGTCAGGACACGCTTCACGCTGCACCATCTGTATCACTAGTTCCATGCCTATTTTCAAAATAAACCATTCAAAAGCTGGTACACCAAATAAGTCATACTATCTAACAACTCGCGAATTCTCTGTTCCTCATCTTTTTTCCCTTCCTTCCTGGAACATTTAAAGCAATATGTAGGTGCATGCAAAGAGCAATGGAAGAATGTTAATACTTTCTTAAAGAATCTATTTAAACGATTACTGCATAATCAGCATGAAAAAAAATCTATTTCTACTGACTATTTGCTAAAAAAATTTAGGAAAAAAGTATTACGTGTATGAGAAAAAAGCTTTTGTGTGATGAAAAATATTAACTTATCGATCGCACTTACTTCAAAAAATAAAGTGTCTAGTACAGAATGTCTAGTATTAATAACATATCTAAGAATTACAGTGAAGACTCATCGAAAACAAATTACTGTTCGCCATGAGAAAGAACAAGATCAATATTCGTTGGGAGGAAAGTTCATCTAAAATCATGTAAATCGTAAGGCTGAAAGAGGTTCTCGTATTTTCTATTTCAAATTATTGAGCTGAGAAGTTCCATCTAGACTGTGGAGATTTTATCAATATGAAGGTTGCCAACTGAAAGACAGGAAGATAAATGAATGAATTTCAAAAGCGGATGAATCAAAACATACAATAAAGGATGAATTTTTGATGATGTGCATTTCAATTCCATGTATTGAAAAGGAAGAAATAATTGAGATGAAAGTAGATATGCTTATGAGCACGAATTATGTGCAGACATTAATCAAGATAGAATGTTAATTTCATAAACTGAAAAAGAAAGCTGCGGAAGGAAGCAGTAAACAAATTGCATGACAATAATTTTGAATTTTCTGCCGGAAAAACTTTGGATAATAATAAAGAGGCTCGTTTTCAAGCGAAATACATGACATTGTTTGCATCTGGATGGACCTGAACTGCGCGCGCCATGTTGCTCAAAGTAGTATCTTCACTTGTTCCAGATGGTTGAGAACCTTCGCCACTGTAAACGGAATACTATTTACTGACAGAGGATATCGTTACAAGGTAACCTTTCTACATGTTACAATAAATTACTTCAAAAATCAATATCAATTGCAAGTAGTCAAATTTTCTTAATCTGAGTAAAATCCAGCAGAATGTACTCTTTCCAAAAATATCGAATTTTCTTAATTTGAATAAAGTCCAGCAGAATGTACTTTTTTCAACATTACTCATTAACGCATTGTCTATACAATACTCTTCTTACTCTTTTCAACATTATTAATTAACGCGTGGCTGGTAGATTGATAAATACCTGTCATGTTCGCGATCAACCAAGTGATAACGAGCTCTAAAAGCCACCAAATGCGCGTAATAAGCTGGCGCGGGGATCGAAACAGATCTTGTACAACGGACGTACGTATGGCACATCTGGTATGTCAATTGTTGTAGCTCATCAGCACTCAGTTGATTATCATCCCAAAGTACATGATAGTGAGATGGACGGGACGTTCCCTGGAACCATATATTACGAAAATCTAAGCATGAATATTTTAAGAATAGTTACGGAGCGAACTCACCACTTCATTCAAGCAAGTTGAAAGTGCAGTTTTTTAATATATTCAAAATTGAAAGTAGGAATGAATTTCTAATTCAAAAAGTCTTTGACAAAGTTCTCAGAAAGTTTTCAATATTGAAGTGATTTCAATTGATGATCTGCACTTGTATTCAAAAATAATGGAATATGTTAAATGTTATGCCATGCATGAAGCGATGCACCAAATAAAAAAGAGTAATAAAATATTTCAATAAAAGAAAGACCTGGATTCCTGCATGCGAACAAAGATAAAAATCAAATTCAGTAGGGTGTGTTATACCAACATCAACTGTTGTTCCAGGTGGAATATTAAAAGCTTTTCCAACCTTGAAAAAATGTTATGCAATAAGAGATCAAAAATAGTATTATTGAGCAAAAATAATAACCAACTTCCTATAATGTCAACCATTTTGATAATGTTCAAAAATTAAATCCATTAGCAATGCAGTAATTATCTACTAAATTTAAATGCATTACTTGATCTTTCTTATCGACAGCAAACAAACGGGTATGGTGTCTTTTCTGTACAGCAATAAATGTTATCCCTGGCTGATAATCCTCCTCCAATAACATACAACATTCGCGTAATGCCCGCAGTTCATATTGCAAAACCTAAAAAATGGTATTCTATTGTACATCTTATGTTGTGATTACTCAACAATTCATGATCAGAAAGTACTTACGTTGAAGAACTGTCCCTCTGACACACCATCACGATAAATAATGATTCGTGTCGGTTTAAAACGAGTGGAGCGATAAAACTGAATAAGAAGTTCGCGCGCCATGTAGGTGAGGTCACTGATTATTTCCTAAAAAAGAAAAATATCAGTGGGACAAGAAACACTACTCGAATGACAAGACAAAAGCATCAGATGTAAAAGTGCCTCTTTTTTTTTTACAATATCCCTTATAATAATAAAAACCGTATTACCTGCCGATGAGCTTGTACACGGACTGTAGCTGCATAACGCGATGGATGAGCATCCATACTTCCAACAACAGCAGCAATGGACGGTTTACGCGAATCACCGGCAGGAGGGTGCGTTATGTCACAACCAAGAAATATCACTAAAATGTTGCAATTTTTTTCTATTTTCCAATGTTGCTTGTATATGAAAGCACCTGAACTCAAAAAATCAGTCAGTACAAAAATTTTATATAGGTAAATGCAATTCATCTCCATATAACATCATCGGGAAAAGATATTAAGCATGCCATTCATCCATTTATTCCATGAAAAAAAATGATACTCAATTCCTAAAAAATGTATGCAGATCATGCCTGATACCTGGCTCAGTGAAAATTCTGGGTCGAACAGCCGGTAAAAGAATTGAATTCACACCACCCAATTTAACGTTCATTTTCAAGCACAAATTAGACAAAGTCTGAGGTGTTGTCTTGATTACATTTTTGGCTTGCACACACTGCGTAGCAATTCCTAATACTGTATCACCAACTCGCTTGACTTCAGCTAAGAAAAAAATTCCGATAAATCATTAGCAACAAAAAATATTGTAATTTGCCAATATATGGATCAATATCATGCCAATAAAAAGTAACTGAAAGCACACAGCAATAACGCCGGCAGATATAAGTTACAATACCTTGCCACAATTTGACCCAATCGAAAATCAGTGGAAAGCACTGACCTTATTTAGCATTATACTTTTATAACTTATTTTGTTACTTTTCAATTATCGGACACGAACAATACTTGTCTTGAGTACAGAAGAAATGAACAAGACAAGAAAACAGTTAAATAAAGTACCGTATACTGGTGTTTTTCCGGGCAGGACAACACAAACAAGTTGAATATTCACGAAAGATGTTTTGAGGTATTTGAACATTGGTTCTACTTGATCAACACCAACTGCATATTTGCAAAAGCATGGCTGCCCCATGATCGGCATACCCGCATCATTAGAGATTCGTTGCAACTGTGTAGTGAAATTGCTGAAATAATTTAACACTGAGAACTGCAACTTCGAGTAATCAACCAAATCAAAAGGACGGGAAGGAACTAATAACAATTTCTAAATCAAGGTTTACCTTTGCAAAACTTGAGCCCTTATCACAAAAAAATAAAATATTTGCCAACCGGAGATCATTTTCTTTAACGTGTTGTTGCTGCGCAAAGCATGCGATTGCCCACACTTTTACTTCCACGCCTGTATGGAATTGTTTTCCACGCATATCCCAAACACCTTGGTTAGGTAGCGCTGTCGCTTTCGTACGACCACCATAAAGCAACTTTGGTGCATTCAGTACACGACCTTTCACCTTAAAGTGTTTCAAAAAGATTGAATAATCAAGTTTCGTTTATGTTATTCGGTGGAAAACTTTGCTTTTTATAATCTTAAGAATTCATTTCTCTCATACTGATGTAATGTATAATCTTACTAATAATCTTATTAATTCATTTCCTTCACACTGATGTGATGTGCACATAAAAATGCAAACCATTACAAATAAAACGCAACCAAGCACTTAAATACATTGATGGACTAACTTCAGTCATCGCCGGATTTATTGCAATGCCAAATTCGTGAGCAAACGGATCGGCATTGAATTCGGCTTTTCGAACTAAATTTGATATCTCACGCTCACGTTCTGGTGCTGACCGTGCTGTTGCCTAAAATTTATTTATCAACCATTCTTTATGATTTATTCGAAAACTGCATTAATAAATATGGTACTATAACTTTATTAACTTCAACCTTAATCATTGTACTGGTTTGCGTATCCGTGAGTTTTTTTATGCAGCGCTGGCCAGGAACAATATTGCATACTTCCGGCGGTAAATATGTATGTTTTTGCTCTTGACCCACTTGCAGACATGGCAAATGTGGATATTTCAATTGCATATGATACTTATCGTAAAAGTATTTGGTAACCGTACAATCAATGGTTTGTCCCGAATCCAGTTGCAATGGAAATCTGTAAGTGTTAACAACTGATAAAAATCTCACAATGTAGTTATAAGTACCCACGCAAGTTTTTAGGAAAACTATCACCGGGTACATGATATTGCACGTGCATCTGCACTGTAATGTTATCAGAGCAGTCTGGCTCATCTTCAGATCTAAACATATATAAGTTATCAAGATTTTGATAAAACCTAACTTTATCAAATCAAACGAAACATTTGATAAAGGAAACAATGTTTGTTCATTTTTATCAAATCTTTATCAAATTATGTATCTCTTGATGCACAATTATGAAAGAAACAAAGATAAATATTATTTTCCAGTAATTGTTTTCAACCAAATGATATGCGGTAATGAACTAACGTCTGTACTTGCGCTGCTCTTCGAGTAACATTACACACTCGGTATTTACGTCGCATAGAACCACAATGAGTTATTTCAATTTTCAGACCACGTATTTCCTTAGTGAATTTAACACGCTGAGCATCTGACAGTGAACGACGATCGGACAACGCTTGCACCGGTACCTCCAACACTTCCGCAATAAATTCGATCACCGGCATTGAGCGATAAAATGCAGTTGCCGAAACTAAAGCATAAAATTGAAAACAATAAAATAGTAATACAAATCACCACTGTAATAAAAATCAAAGGTTTTCTCCTCAATTTCTTTTTAAATTCCTAAGAGAAAGACATGGAGACACTTTCACCGACATGCCCACCTTTTCTTTAACAATCATTAAAAAATATGGCCAACATATCTTACAGATCACTTTACGCTACTTAAAGCTGAAAAGAAATATCTTTTTTCCGTCTAGAAAGCATCTGTTTTTATGCAGTAAAAGAAATCCGACTCAGTCAATGAACAAAAACGCCATTATCTTAAACACAAAAAAAACCAACCATCAATATTGAGCATCATTTTCCATTGGCTTGGTCGCACACTCTGATGGAAACCGAACCAAACTTCCCGACCACCACCAAGCTTACTTTCCGTATGGTACTGCTGTGCTGAATGTGATGGACCATGTGCTGAGCCTAATGGTGGTGAGAAAAATGATCGTCCAACAGGAGTGTATCTAAAATTCAAATTAATTACATTTCGTTGAGAACTTAACATCACAGTGCAATGATGCAAAATTTTCCTACCTACGATTCTTTTATTTGCATAAATTTCAACGGAAAACCTATGACACATACTTTAAACTAGGTAAATGTCGTAAAATCACATCCATTGCCTGCACAGATTCAAAAGGCACTTGACGCACTCGTCCCTCCATTGCATCTTCTAGAGCCGACAAAGAAACCTAAAAAAACCACTCTTAACCCTAAAAACTTTATAAGATCAAAAGAGACGAAACGAAAAATTAACGAAAACCAAACAATTACCGTGGAAACCCATTTAATGGCAACAGTAAACTGTCGATCAACAGCAGAATCTCCTGGTAATGTAACTTCCAATTCCAACCGCTCACGTCCAATTGGCAGTGGATCTCGAGTATACATATTACGTTTTCCATCATATACTGGACGGACATTGCTGAATACCTTTTGGTACGCACGAATCATAGTGTTCACAATTTCTCTGAAGTGATGTAATTAAAATACCATCTATAATGAGAGTAAAAAATTTCAAATCTCATAAGCAACGAGAGAAGACTGCTGAACCTGTTAACTCGACGTGGGCACTTGTCTGGTTGCACATCGATGGAATAATGCTGGATATTACCCCCTGGTATGCGAACAGCGAAATGATTTGCGCGCAAAACAATTGCGCGTCCTTCTATGCCATGATTGGGTCTGCGAGGACATTGGAATTGTAATGGTCCTGAAGAAATAAGCAACCTTTTGAATAATCATTATTAGCCAAAAAAAATTATCTACGTCTTTCTTACTTGGCGAACATGAATTTGAAAGCATTATTATCTTGGTCATCCAGAAAATCCCAATCAAGATCATCATAAACATTAAAAGATTCAACTAAATTCAGAACACTCTGAATTAATAATCCTCTACCAGTCGATTGTCCGGGCGGACGTTGTAGCGGTACGTTAGATGGAGGAGGAAGAGGTGCTTCCGAACCATCACTACCTCCTATTGGTCCACCGGGAGCCAAAGACCCAGGGGGACGATTGTCGAACGACGGTGCTCCACCACTACCACCAAGCATCAGCTGAACCGGAGCAGGATTTATCGGAGCTAATTGGTAAGCATCCTGAAAAATAATGAAAATCGTGTTGTAAACAGTGAATGACATGAGCAATATTCATACTGCACTAACCAAGCACTAGCATCACTAAGAAATGGTTAATAAAGTAGATGGTTACTTTCACTCTCAGCAGAAATCAAAAAATGTATTAACCTGAAGTGATGCCTGCAAAGTTGTTTGTTGTTGCTGTTGCGAGATGTGGTACTGGCTGCTTCCAGCTTGAGGGAACTGAGGATTTCCCAAAAGGTTTGGTACTTGTTGAAGAAATGGCTGGTATGGTGCCATGCCAGAGGCCGATGTGCCCTGCCGATCACCAAAATTAAATGCTTCTGTAATGAATCATTTCATTAAATGTAATAAGGCCAGCAAGAGTGTCACTGGATCAAATCGACTGACTATGGGCCTCAAACCGCAGATGCAGAAAATCATCGAAAAGGAATGCAACTTCTCATACACTGTAGCTTCTAAAGAGACGAATAATGAAAACTAACCCAACAAACTTAGAACTTGTTGTTGTTGCTGATCAATTGCCGCCATTTTTTGTTTTCAAGTATACTATGCCTAAGCAGTTGGATTTCTATCAATAAGGCTGAAGAAATTCAAGAGTTAGACATTTCAAATAAAAATAAGTAACCGAAGCAAATAAAATCTGGGCAAACCCAGCAAAATTACACGCGTGTGTTCTATCGCTTTATAAACTAACGTTAAAGGATTACAACTGATGAGAGAAGCATATCCTGTCGTTTGACCTACATCCATCTATTTATCGTACAATTCGAATGTACTTTGGAATCTACTTTGAATGTAACTCGAATGTACTTTGGTACGCTCATGTCTCCAATAATTTCGAATGCCTTCATAACCTATTCCAGACTTAAGCATATCCCAACAAGTAATCTTATCGTTATGATAAATGAAACTAATCGATTAACATACATCTCCATTTTAATAAGCAATCCTGACATTTCTGAGCAATTAGCACTAATGTAACAGTAAGTCGAACCATCCGAAAAGACTTTTTGAAAAAGAAAACAATCCTTACCTTACTCCAGAGATCAGATATGAAAGAAGAATTAAATAGTAATATAATAATATCATTCACAGTAATAAAAACGGCTCACGCAGGTACGCTACACGTCACGTGTCTGCATAAGCTCCTAAAAAATATCAAAAATTACCGGGATGTTGAAATGAAAAAATGAGGCTCGTTTTATTATTCAGTTATCTAGCAACATTTTTTCGCTCAAATTGGAATGCCGTAAGTGGAAAAAGAATGCTATGCTTACAGTCCGTGATACTTTTGACACACACTCAACCGCACATACACGCCTGATCCCCTAACAAATTCCTGTTCCCAACAACGCAGTATATTTTCATTTGTGCGTACATGTAACGAGAAAGTCACTCTGCCAACCGTTAAAACTACTTTTATTGGTTTACGTCGCCATCAAATTCGCTTCGTTTGGATATTGGAATGGTGGTACGTTTACCATTCGAATCTGATGCCACTTTATTGTTACTTCAATTGCAACAAAACTCCCGAAGTGGAACTGGAATGGATGGACAAGGACGTTGTGACTTGTCGCACACACTCAAAGAGCCACAACATTATGACCCAAAAACCTCTCCTGTTCTGTAAACTACCGCCACACAACCATTTGTTCCACCTCACAACATCTCATGCGATGCGACAGAGGCGTGCGCTCTCGACGCATCACAATCACAACGCATGTCACAACAGGCCAGAGAGAAAATGTGTAATGGAGGGAACAAAGGAGGGCGAGAAAAGGATGAGACAGAATGACACCCAACGACAATGATAGAAACAGTGATGCAAGGAACAATGTTCTAGGGTAGCAACAAAGAAGGAAAGGATGTGGAGAGAGATCATGGAAGGGAAGGAGAACCACAGGTATTAGCAAAAAATTTGTTCATGGTGAAAAACACAGAGGGGAACGCAGGGGGAGTTCAGAAAGCCAATCAACAAATTAAAAAGGATAACAGTGTAGTGTATTAGTAAAACGGCGATACAGCAATGAAGTGCAGCGAGTACAGTAGCGGGGTGCAGCACGATAGCGGACGAGAACGCGATTTAGTAGAAATTCGATGCGCTCACTAATTGGTACTATTAGTTATCTCAGGAAGAACACGTGAATGAAGATAAGATGGAAGGCATGTGACAGGTCACGTGAAGTAGCAGCAGTCTTGTAAATATAAGGGCTTACCAACTGCGACAGTATTTTATTCTAGACTCGAGTCGAAAGAACTAAATTTTTATAGGAAACAAGACCATCAGAAAGAAGGAATAAAATTTTCGGAGTAATGGCCACTCCTTAATGGTTATATTGAAGGGCATCTCGACATGTCCGATAATTTATACAAGGAAGAGTGACCAAAGAGTGGTCAAATGTAATGGAAAAGAAAACATCTTGGAAAGAAAGTTACTACGCAGAAAGATGCTTTGATTACTGGAAAGGTCAAAATGATCAGGGTCATTACTCTCTCGCTGTTGGCCCTCTCTTCTGGATGACCCTCCCTTCTGGATTAAATCAATGAATATTGTTGTGCCCATGGGCAAGAAAGACATTGTGATGAGAAACAGTATAGTATGCATCAGAGGAGAAAGATGGTAAGAGAAAAAAGAGAAGCGAGAACCTGAGGTGTAGAGGGACATTCTTTGGATACGCACAATATCGGGGGAAATATCTAAGAAAAATAACTTCAGTAGAAGGAGGTACATTCGTATTTGACCTTGTGTCTATTTTGTTCTGATGTCCGAAAGCAAATCCACTTCAGAGGTCACAACTATGTGTATGTCCAGTGCAAGCTTTCGCACGTAACCAACCAATGGCATTGGAAAGAGAAAGGGAAATGATAAAGCATGGTGATGACACGTCACATCACATTATAACACGATTACCCCTGCACTGAGTACCTCGGAGAGCAGTCACATTCATCCTACAGTCATTTTCTGGACGATCAGTCTCGAAAGCACTCGCATTTCGCGTATCTGCCGAAAGTCAGTAAGACGAAGAAAAATTTTGGTCGGTTATGCAACAAAATTTAGACGTAGTGAGAAGTATAAATTGAATGACAATGGAAAAAAGCAGGAAATTAGCCGTGTAAGCTCAACAAAATTCCATTTTTTGAAAGTTCAAAATGAAATCCGACAATAACAGTGCAAAAAACTTCACTATTTGACGAGCTAAAATGAGATCCAAAAGAAATATGACAGTATAGGGGAGATTTATAAATATGCTAAGTCTAATTTTGGATCGTGGACAGACTTCAAATATGCTTAAAATGAGCATATTGAATCATTCGATCATCCAAAGAAGATTATTATTCTCGAAACGACGGAAGAATTTTAGGAATATGAAATTTTAAGAACACGAAAAAAAAAATTTTTCGGACAGTGTATTATTGTTCATAAGGGAGAATGATACTCAATTACAACAGGTCACTCAATTGAGATGAGATTGTGACACTGAGTAGCAGTGGAACGATGGTGACCATGTCGTTTATATGTTCTAACTTTAGTGGGGAAAATGAGAGGCTGACCGCTGATTACTGACCACATCGATGCATTTTTGCCCTTTTGAAATAGTATCTGATCAGATTTCAGAATCAAACGCTAATAATTACATTACATTTAACTAGTAAATGCATTAAACGGATGTAGCCAATTTATAATTCAGAATTGAGAATCATTTCCCGATAGTATTTCTACAAATTCGGAAATTGATCCTCAATGATTTAAATTAAATTATCGAGGCTGTCCAATTGGCTCTTCAGTGCACCGGCACAGATATGTCGAAAAAGTTAGTGAGGTTAAGTTAATAGGACTGAAAATAATGGTAATTTGACCGATTTTATTGAAGAAAAACAATTCATTCACTCACTAAATCTACAGCTATCCAGTCAACCCTTGTGAAACAATAAAATTGATTACTGTCAGGTCTATGATCTGCATAATCTCAATGACCTGTAATCCTGAACAATGCAGCTCAGACGTGCAGCCGGAACGTAAACAATCCCGGAATATCCTATTGTTTCGGGCCGTGTGGTATTTACTGGCCCGTTCATGGCTTTAAAATTTCTCTCTTGCGAGACTGTTTTTTAACTTAAAAGTTATGGTGGATTTAATGGGAAACAATAACCGACGGGAATTGTAGTAGTCTTATGTTAGATGTATTAAGATTGCTAACGAGAGAGCAGAACGGTTAGAGAGAAATAAGGACTAATAAGGTCTTCAAAGTCTAACAATCTTTCCAGTTGTTCTCTTATTCCGATCATATGACGAGTAGTTTTATCATAAACAGTGGGCAGATTTCCACGTGTTATATATAAATGAAATGATGCCTGCACCAATGTTTAGAATGAGAATAGCGTTATTCGCACACAGCAAGTAATAAATCCTGTTCATTTTACGAATAAAAAGGGACCAAAGTTACCCATGCAGTAAGTAAATCGAACAGTGTGGTGCATGAGCTTCTGATTACCAGAAGAGTAACATCACGTACCAATTTATCCATTTCAGATAAATTTGCCTACACTATGGGAAGTATGACGTGTGCAATGCAGTTCCACATTAACGTTGCATCTCGTTTTCGTTTTTATCGAGGGTAACAATCATTCGAAAGTGTTGTGAGATAAAATGACCATATTTAATTTCTATTTGTTTAATCGAGATGGCACATGTGTTCTATACAGGGAGTGGAAACGGGAAAAGAAGACGATAATGTCAATGGAACAGGTGCTTCTTCATGATACTTTTCCTTAAATTTAATGAAGTTATACTGAAGTCTGAGGTATCGCTTGTAAAATAAAAACAATTGTAGGAACTAAAATTGATGTATGGAATGCTGTTGTCATTGCGCTCATTCGCTTTGAAACTTTCAACAGCTGCTGGGTTAGTTCCTGAACTTCATTTCTATTTTACTGCTTGTGCATACATCCTGAACTTCATTTCCATTTTACTGCTTGTACATACAGATACATTATTCATATTTTCCGTCTTTATTTTATTTATACATAGCCGTATAGTGAAGTAAGTGAAGGAAACAGCTATGTGGAAAATTTTTATAATTATCCATAAAATGGATAATTACTATTTCAGAATTCAACAAGTGAATAGTTTTGAAACCAGCCAATATAAGTTAAATTATCTGGAAACACCTACTGGATTGAAAATGGTTCTCAATACAGATCCAAATGCAACTGGAATTCCAGAACTTATGCGTAGCATTTATCAGGTAATCACATATATATTTGTATTTTCACTTACTCACTTAACCAATCTAAAATATGGTACTCTTTGACATCCAGTTTTTTGCTATATCTTGAGTGAAATTGCAAGCGCCATAAAAAATTATTGTCCTTGACTGGTTCAAAAAAAAGAAATGTAAAATTAAAGTTATGAATATCTGATGAATTAAGGCATATGTCGATAGAGTGATAAAAAATGTCTTGACTGAAAGTAATGCGCAGTCGAGCAATGAACTTTTTAATAGTCGGCTCGAACAACTAATTCAAAAGCATCCAGCATTTTGACTACATTCAACATCACTTCATTTTGTCAGTTTTTTCTTTTATTTTTTTCCTACATCTAATACTCAGAAAACTGACCATATTTGCATTGGCATATTATTTGTACAAGAATATTACATGGATGACTTAGAGAATAAAATACGGAACTTTACTGCTCCAAATACCAAAGAGATGCAGGATGAAAATCATAAACGTGCTCTTCTAAATTTACAATAAGTTCGACTTGGAAATTTTTGTCTAGTTTGAGTGTTATAAACTTAGCAGTTTTCCTAGATTATTTCTACTCATTCGACTAACAGTTAACTTTATCTTCGCGCAGATATTTTCAAACTTTAGTCCTCTTCTATATCATACACCATATATAGAGGTGAATTGACCGTTATCTAAAATACAACCTTGGCTCCAATTGGAGAACATTTGATAATGACTTTTATAACAAGAGCGTTTTCTGAATAATTTCATTTTCATTTGCTAATATTTTGAAGTGCTGATTGGTTTACTATTGCGTATTTTTATTTGCAGAGAAAGCAGTATATATGGCTGAAATATATTGTATCATAATGTATTACGACCAATTCTGCGAAATTGTTTTGATGTATGATCAAAATCTGCGACAATAGGCTTCCTTTGTATGGGAAGTGTCGAAATATATCTTGGATGATATACTAATACACTGGAAACCATGCTAATTGTAATATGTGTTATGATTGCAATGTTGTTTCTTTTTTCTTGTAATCATTAGTTCAGAAGTAATGACGTTTCCATAACACATTCTAACTTTTTTACTCTTTCGTAGTTTGATTCTTACGCTGACTCATTGCTTAAACTGTACCTTGGAGCTATGCAAAATAAACTGAAATGCTGACGTAATGGAAAAACAATCATTGCAAATGGTTGTGTGAGGACAAGGAACGGTGTGCATTTATGCACTTATGGCGTATGCATTGAAATTGTTATTGTTGAAGAGGTGCTCAAGTGGAAAGACGAAAAAAGAAGTATAGCAGGATCGGGAGATTATTTAAACAGCTATAATAAACTGGATTTTAAGATAACATAGGTGAAATTAACTTCTGACCACAACGTGCGAACTAGTTTGACATTAAGGGTATACTTTTCAAGCAAACATTTAAAGATCACTAAGTCGCTCTTACTAGGATTTCGATCTCATTCGAAACTCCGTAAAAATTGGACTGTTGCTGTAGTGCTGCACGACTCAATTAACAAAGTGTTGTTCATAGCGTTATTAGCTACTAGTGATATCAGAGATCACGATTGCTAGTACTGTTATTGCTATTAATACTACAATTACTACTATCATCAGTTATCAATTTCTTTGCTAGCATTAGCTCTTTTCAATGTACATGAGTTACGAAATACTATTTCTCATGCTACATTATGTAGGCGGTAAGTTAATCGTTTTAGTATAAACATGCATAATATTTCTTCTGCCATTGCATATAACAATTTCCATTCAGAAATTCATCAAATTTTAGTAAAATCTGTAAATTTGGAAACGGAAGTATTAACTTGCATGAACTGCAAAACATTCTGCAAACGCATTATTAATTCTTTTTTTCCCTTGAAAGAATTGTTGCAGGCAATGAAAATGTACCGATAGAGAATAATTTATGTATGACTGTCGAACATATCCGAGCTGCTGATAATCCACAATCATTTTATCAATGCATTCCGCTTAGTGACCAAGAAGTTTGTATAATTATTTGTGGAAAGCGATTGGAGACATTCGATAAGATTCTAATAAGGCATACATCACAGCAATAGCATCTTCATAAATTTATATTTCATTTCTATTCAACTATCAGATAACAGAAGTATTGTAGATTGAAAGTTATCTTATGGTTGACAATAAAATCGGAACGTGGAAAAAACGAAGCTGTCCGGAAGAGCATCAGTTTGATTATATCAAGCAAGGTTGTACTGAAAAAAATAAATTGCGTAGGCAACAACCAAACTGTCAACAGAACTCTGCTGCTAAAGGATGTGAAAAATCTTGTCAAGGTTATTGCTACTAAATTTCAATCGTATCAGTAAATCTTATATGAAGAAATTGGACAAATAGAATCTGATATTCGGTTCATCGGTAAAATTGAGTTTAGTAAAAGACTCTCTTGACAGTGAAGGACCCTTTACATGAACCTGAATCGTACTTGTTTAGTTTTTTTTTTTTGTTTACTGATAGTCAAAAAGAGATCATTCATTAGTTGTTTGAGAAATTAAGAATGAGAATTGGCAAAAAGGATAATTTCGACAAAGTTGGATTTTTATATGAGAAACTATATGAGAAGCTAACAAATACAGTGCTAATTATAATTAGCATTGTATTTATTAGTTAAAAAATAACTTTATTTCATTTTATAAAATTCTTTATCCTAACTGATCAAATATGAAATTTAGTGATAAATACAGCAGCAGTACAAAGGGGACCTTGTGATTGGTTATCATCTACCTTGCAACTTGATACTACCAACAATGCTGCTTTCCTACAATGCGTTCCGCAGCAAACCAGGTAGATGTCAAATGTATTTGTAGAAGCAAGAGAGACTGAGCAAAGGTCAATATATTAAGGAAAATCGATGGATTAAATGGGGGTGCCTTCAGAAAAGAATACCTTATCAATGAAACTGTTTGGCTTAAAATGAAGGATTGTCATGTGCGGTGACAATTATTCATAGAATCATATCAGAATATATTCGATCAAATGCAAATTTTTCAAATTTCTGTTCTGTTGTCGAAGAATTATTTTATACTATTTTTTTTTCATCAATTTAATTAAATTCATTAGATCATAAGAACATGGAAAGGTTGCAGGTCTTGCGGTATATGGGCACCCAGGGAATGCACTGAAGGAACAACATTTGATTCAAGATTGCAAATTTGCGCATTTGATCATTTGATGGGTTGTCCGAGAGGTTCATTACCGGTAGGTCGATGTGCTCAACAGCCATTCATCAATGTGTGTCCTGGGAGTTCTCAATGTACTGAGGTCTGCTAATTCATTTTTAAGAAAAGTTTAGCTTAGCTTTGTTACTTTTTTTAGAGTTATATTTATTTTTTTAAGTTTTTTTTGCTTTGCTAATTTTGTAAAACATTTCAGGAATATCAAGTTTGCTGTCAACCAATACCAAACCTACAAACTGGTTATGAACCACCGCTGCTACTACCTGTACCCGTTATAAATGATCTTTCACCTCGTCAGATCTTTCATATATTATACATTTCAATTTCAAACCAAGCATATATGAATGAACAGCTCAAATGTGTAAATGACTAATTTGAATAATTCAGCCAAATTTGAATCTAAGACTACATCCGGTCAAAAATCATCCAAAGTACAAATATTACAGTATATTACAATTGAAAAAAACAAATATTACAATTGAATGAAAGAACTTTCATCAACAGTATTTCATTGCTTTTTGTTTTAATCTTAATTTAAATACAGAACAATCACTTAATGGCAATGAAGTGAAAAAAAAGCAATTATCAGAAAGAAATATTTACAAATCTACAAACTAAGCTTATCCTAAAAACTTTAAACAATTAGGGAACAAAGCACTAATAATAAATAAGCCACTAGAAAACGAAATTTTTTCATAAGTCTTTTCAATTTTTGTAGCTTGTGAAAGAGAGATTAAATAAGTACAAATAAAATGAAAGGGAAAATTAAGAAAGAATTTGTTGTCTTTACAAGAAGACTTAATAATAAGTTTTAGGATAAACGAAAAAGAAAATGTTAGCAATCGAAATGATTAAGTAAATTTAAATGACAGCATGTTTGAAAAATTTACATTTTCATTTTTAATCTTAAACTTTCTTTGAAGACTATAAATGTTAGTTAGTTAGGGTTTCAGATTTAAAAATTTAATCTCTCACTTATGTCTAAAAATGGAAAAGCAAATATTTTAGAAGTATGCCCTCCCAATACAGGGCCACCTGTAGCTGCTTGTTCACCAACGCAGTCTTGCCCACCTAGAACGACATGTTACGCGATTAGTGGTTTTTGTTGCGGTATCATAATGGAACCGATGCCACTGGTACAATCTTTACCAATTCCGGTTATTCAACAGCAATTACAAACACCGCCGGTACCGGTGGTGCAACAAAATTCATTCCAGATTGTTCAACAACAACAAACTGTCATTATGTGTCCCAGTAAGTTCATTGGAAATGTGACAAATCAATTGACCTATTACGATGAACAGAATGGACACATCCTGAATTTTGACCCAATATCTAATTTAAGACGGTTTTCCTGGAACTCAACCTTGCGGTTTCATGGAACAATGCCCAACGAATAGTGGTTGCTATCGCGGTGTGTGCTGTCCATTGCTTTGTCCCAGTGGTCAGGATGCCACAGGATTCTGCGGTCAGACAGAATCAGCAACATTATCCTGCCCACAACAGGTAAAACATCTTATATTTGAATATCTTCAACATATATATAAATTTCATCAGTCCTTTGATTTATCGATGTCATGCATAGAATAAGTTTGAATACTTTGATTTATCTTTGCAGGCTAGTTGCATATCGGGATGTTGCTGTCAGCAGCCTGAGCCAATTCGTATGCCAATTTGTCGGAGCGGTGTCACGGCTACTTCAAGATGTACTGTTGATCAGGTTCTGTTTTTAATTTCCCCAATTTCATGCTTTTAAATTATTGTCCTCTGATATTATAGGAGTGCAGTCCAGGAATGGAATGCTCTAGTGGTGGCTGTTGTCCAATACCATTTTGTCCTACTGGAATACAGGTATTCTTTGGCATGAAATTTTTGCTACTCTCTAAAATAACTAAATGATAAGGAAAAGTTGGCTCCTAATCTTCAACCTATATTGTCATAGATCATTAATCGCTCCATTTAATCTTCGATTATTTCATCTTAGCATCTTCTTTTCAATCACAGAAAATTTCGATTCAGGCAATAGGCCGTTGTCCGTCAGGCATGGGTTGTCCCAGCGCATCAATCTGTGCCAATGGTTTGTGCTGTCCTGCGCCACGTTGTTCCTCAGGCGTTATCGCCCTACGGATCTGCGTATCCAATGCCGAGTGCGGAAATGGTTTCGAATGCGCTAACGGCGGTTGCTGTCCACTCCCTCTTTGTCCCAATAATCAGATCGGATCACAACGGCAAGTGTGCCATGTTCTTCAATATAAAATGCCTTTAATATATTCAGTTATTACCTTACTCTGATATTCAGATGTCCAACCAATGGATGTTGCTGTCCTACAGGTCAGCAATGTGTCAGTGGTGTGTGCTGTCCGTTACCGGCTTGTTCAAACGGAATTCTATCAGCAACAGTGTGTGGAGCTGGAAATATTTGCCCGCAAGGTATGGAGTGTGACAATGGTGGTTGTTGTCCGTTGCCAATATGTCCATCCGGTGCTCAACCTTCCGGACGATGCCAGAAGAATTCTTGTCCCAATGGGCAGGTATCTTTCTTTTACAACGAAATAATTAGAAAATTCACGACCCAAAAGTATGAGTTAAATTACTTCATCTATCACAGCGAATGACCTTTTTCGCTGATTATCTTAATGTACCTGAGAGATAAGTGCAAAATTACTTTTTTATATATTACTATCTATATTTCGGTCATCATGTATTGAGAAGCCTTTTTTCTCCAATCTTGGATTATACCTTCAAGAAATTCTACAAATATGCCAAACAAACAGTCATTTCAGGTATGCGAGAAAGGAATATGCTGTCCACTACCCGTGTGCTCTAACGGACAGCTTGCTATCCAACTATGCGCCTATGGTAACAGCTGTCCGATGGGCTACATATGTGAAGGTTATCCATTCCTTTTCCGGCTAACTTATTGCTTCTCTTTCTACCGTATTGTATCTCTACAATGATCCACTTTTCAGTATTTTCACGTCAGAGATTAAAGTGCGGAATATAATAGCTAGTCCATTCCGTTGCATTTTATTAACGTTTGGATTGATCGTTCACAGGATAACTTATTCTGTAATTTAGGTTAGATAACTAATTCCATTACATATAATGCCAGGACGAGGTTGCTGCTTGGAACCGCTACCACTCTGTCCGAATGGTGTTCGTGCATATCAACAGTGCAACCGCGGTATTGACTGTCCACCTGGATTCGGTTGTACTGCAATGGGAGCATGCTGTCTGTTGTCATTGGAACCGGTATGTCCGTCAAATCAGAATGCAGTTTGTCAGTGTTCGCCAGCCAATAATTGTCCGCCGCAAACTTCATGTACTATGGGTACATGTTGCACCTCAGGTAGTTCTTTTTTCTTGTGAACTATTATATGCTTCTTCGTACACACTACGTCATTTTTATACATATTTTGCTGCTCTTATTTACCATTTCCGATTACATCTCTTGCCGGACATTAATTCTTCTCTTTCCAAATTTCATGCAGCATCACAGAAAATGGAACCTATTTTGGTACGCAAAATGTTTTTCTGAATTTATTGAAGTAAACCGTAATACTGACTCTGTGCATAGTGATATTTTCATTCATCGATCACTTACTTAGCATCAGTGAATGTGTATGATCACGTTCCGGGAACCTCTTGTCAAACATCATCACAGTGCAATGGTTTTAATAATGGTGGCGCGCAATGTATGCAGTCAATTTGTGCATGCATTAATGGTGCCGCGTCCAATGGCGCGACTTGCCAACAATTCAATCCTGCTGTCTTGCTACAGGTAATAGATTTGATAAAGTGCTGCAGGTTCATATTTCTCTGAAGTTTTCTAGAGAAGTCATTTATCGATCAGTGTTTATCTGTGAGCGAATATCATCATTCTTAACCCTTAACCCCGAATTTTTTAAAAATAGAGATTGAAAAAAAGATAAAACGAGGAGTGAGCATTTATTTTTTTTTTAAATTCGTTAATGTAATGATTGGTTTTAGATTTAGAAAATAATACAATAATGAGCGTTAGGTTATAAACTGATGAAATCAAGTGAATTGGCACTTATGTTAACAAGTAAAGGCGAAAAAGATCAGCGAAATAAAATCATCAGTATTATCATGACCAATCTAATTTCTATATTAGTTTTCTACGTTTCTATACGCCGATCTCTTACAATCTTATTTCTTGTTGCACAAGCTATAAGATCAATTATGATTCAAATTTTACCAACAGGCTCGATCAGGTTGTGATCAGTATGGTTCACCTTGCAAATTCGCATTTAGCACTGCTCGAAAGAAGCCTTTATTCACTCCAGTTGGTAACATCACTAAAGAACCATGTAAGTTTAAAACGAATCAATTTGATCAATAGTGCCTGAACAGCAGCAAAAGTAAAATATCCGTGGTCTAAATGAATCGATAGTAAATGTAAATGACATTACAGTGTGGTACGCAGTGGTAACATCACGACGTTGTTTATGGAATGGATCGTTTGCCAGTTTCGATCCGGATAGTACTTGTCTTCCCAATGAGAAATGCATAAAAGGAGAATGCCGCATGTATTACCATTTATTTCTCCTTTTTATATCTATCCTCAAGAATTGATCCGTCTACCTTTGCTTATGAATTCAATTTACTTTAATTTGTGAATAAAGCATTTTTAATTCATACTGAATGATTTCAACATTTAGGAAACTGTGGCCAGGTGAATATGGTTGTACAAGTGATGAGGAATGTTCGGCAAGGTGTAGCAACACTTACTGCTCAACAAATAGTGATAAAGGCATATCACAGTGTCAGTGTGCTAATGGCAAATTACTTTATGGACGATGCTGTAAGTTATTTTTTATCATTCTTAAAATACAAATGCTGAAAAAACTACCACGAAATATTACTGAAGTAGCAACGGAATCTGTTTAATATTTGAGGAATGAAAGCTGTAATGGATCTATTAAAAAAATTATCGAAATAATAATTCGAGCATTAAATATTAATATTTCATTTCAGTTGATCAATGCCCAATAGATTTTCATGCAAAGGGAGCGTACTGTGAGCACGATGACGAGGATCATTTTTGGACGGATGCAAACAAGCAAAATTCTCTTCGAGAACTTCTCAATTCGGGAACTTGTTAGTTTTCTTAATCAACAAGACGATCCATTCATTCTTTGTTGGCAAACTCTTTTCTCAACTTTGCTTTTTGAATTTATGCAGAAAATAAATGAGTGGAAGATAGTAATGCAAAGCTTCAAAAACATTTTACATATGTAAAATTATGTAAATTTTATGATTTAATTCAATTGTTGAATTAAATACATTTGCAATTGTTTGGAAAAATTCACTGATGCTATGAATGTTTGTTTACGGGTACCACCTCTCTGTTTTCCAATTTCTTCTGTTTCTTTTTCTGTGTTTTAATATCCCTATGAATTTCGAATTAGTTAAGTTAAAATGGCAATTTTTCAAATCTGAGAGCTTTAGCTGAATTTTATTTGATTCTGTCTTGTAATAATCCAAATTCAACAATATATTGAATTTCCATTATTATACTCTTCGCAATGATATGTTGAAATCTATTATTCCCAATTATTTTTATAATTTCAAAATAATTATGCTATTGTTATGATGGTATACTGTACAATGGCTTAATGAGTACAATTTTTTATACCTTTTACTTTCGACAAATATTATAATCAGTAATCAATTAGATTTAATTAGACAAACTAATCAGGAAAGGCCAGAAATTTTATTTTTTTTTAATTTAGAAACTGCTTACTTAAAAGTAACATGCATGAGAAAGAAGAATAAATAGTTGAGATAAACCAGCGTATGAAATTCAAAAGTAATACAAATAATTTATGATAAAAAGAGACAACTCCAGTTAATCTCTTGTTTCAAGAATTGATAACGGGTTATGAGAGATAATTTCAATAGATAAACAGCATTTGAATAAATTGTATTAATTTAAATAGACTGGATATTTACAAGTTCTATCAAATAGTGACCAAGTACTGAAAAACTATTGGTTTAATAATGAACAAATTCAAAAAATTTAAATTAAACAAGCTTGTAATTAGTCAGTCAGTGCTTATTAATAAAAAATGAGCCTGACCTATTTCATGTTCAATAATCTATTTTATATTTACTATTTTACTCAATGCAGAGATAGGCGAGTCACAGATGTAACATTCATTTGGTAACAAAAGAAGGAAAACATTATTGTTTTGTTCCAATAAACAAAGTAAGGGACTTAAATAAACAAAAATTAAAGTTAAACACGCGAATGACAAACAAACGATTGTTAGTGAATACTTGTTTTTCGTAAATGAGTGACTTGTTGAAATGTTTGTTCATGGACATGACGTCATAGTTGTGGTAAGAAAATCACGAATAAGAACGATGTCAGCAATTTGAATCGATCCCACAACTTTTATTTAAAAGATTGCTTTCTCTATCCAACAATGATTCATGCCAAAACTTCAGCATTTAGTTGTGCTGTTTAAAGCACTGTTAGAAAATAATAACATCGAAAGTGAACGATGAATGAGTGGTTTAAAATTCAAAAGTCATCAGTATGATAATATGTGATTGGAATTTTGTCTATGAGCAATCCAATGTTTTACTTATTTGTTCCTGTAATGATCATTGCTATAAGCAAAATATCCAACGAATAAGCTAAAATAAACGATATGAACTTAAGTTGAAGTATCTATGTTAGATGTTTTCTTGTCAGGAAAACATTTAAAAAATTTTAGGATACAAAGCAATGAGTAATTTAAGGTGGCGGAAAACCGATATGTTGATTCTGGTTTTTAAATTTTTCCTTGAACTTACCACTTATCCAAATATTTATATATTACCGGTGAAATTCTTGGCATTTAAGTATGCTGCTTTTTCCTTGCTGAACTGCTGTTTTTCAAACTTTTTTAAATTGAAAACAGATATATATATATGAATTTGAAAAAAATATATATATTTGAAAAATCAAATATATTTGAACCATATTGATTCCATGGTAACACTTTCTTTTTCCTGTTTCAAAAATACATTTGGTTATTAAATAAACTGACATGTTGGAATGAAATACATTTGATATTTCGCACAAGTTTTCAATTATTTTCAGTTTTTAATCAACTGAATATCCTTTCCTTTCCCAAATTCTTATCAGTGATGCTCTCATTGACTTTTTTGTGATATGAATTTTATCATTTTCGTAACTTCAATAAGTAGTAATCATTCAAAATTCGATATTTATTTATTCTCAAAAAATTAATGCTTATGTCACTGCCATATATTCAATAAAAATAAAATTTCAATTAGTACGATGATAAGCAATATAGTAATTTCTCATACTTATCTTTGTGTATTATATTTAGCAAAGCCAAAAATTAGTGTATTTTGGGAAATACACTAATTTTTCCTTAATTTGATTTTGTTTTTGTGCTACTTTTTGTTTATTATTCTTTATTTCAGAATCTGTGCTTAAAAATCATTAATTAGAAAAGAAATAACTAATAAAATCAAAGTCATCAGGAAAAAATTTTTAAATAGAAATATTAGAGAAGTTTATTAAAATTCAGAAGCAAGTGGCGGTGAGCGGACTTTATTCAGGTATTAATTGAAAATGCATTGGCAATAATACAGCTTAAGCATCAAATGAATAATTAGCTTTTTTAAATCTTTTTAATAGGCTCGTCAACAATTTCAACGGACCAATATATAGGTTCTCGCTGGAATTTGATGTGCTTTATAATCGCTTTCTTTATTTAATATTCTACTTGCTCGTGCCTAAAAAATGTAGCGAAAAAATTGAAGACATATGAGTTTGTAGCACCCATCTTGCATTCCTGTACGTTTTATTATTATTAATCTTTCAACTTATTAATCATTCGCCACGTGAACTTTTCTCGAATATTTCTGCCGGGAATTTAAAGTTATTATTAACAGATTGAATTGGTGTAACCTTAATAAAAACATCAAATTCATTTTCTGGATTTTGAACAATTTGACGGATAGTTTGAATGATTTGATAATTTTCAAATATAAAAATATAGTTAGTCCGCTTTGCGATCAATAATTCAATAGCATAGAGAGTTCGGTCGATCAAATCACGTTCACTATGCAGATTAAGCAGTTGTGGCACCAAACTAAGCACATTACTCCCACACAGCCAACGTGATCGGTTCAAACTGGCACCTGTCAGAGCATTTGTAACTGTCCAGCCTATTTCCTAAAATATGCCTCAAATTAGAAATAAAATTTTAATGGGGAGGAAAAATCGAGTGAGAATACCTTGCGAATGCGATAATCATCGCAGTCGAATGCATCGATAAGTGTTTCGACAATATCATTTGTTTCGAAGAGTAAATCAATTTGTCGGTGTGAACCGGCCGCAATGTTACTAAGAATCCACGTCATCTCACGTTTATTAATAACCGGAACGTCAAGTCGGAATAATTTCATCTGCAAAATGATTGAAATGAAAGAAAATCAGATGAGAATTGTTAAGGCTAGCAAAGTATTTGTTAGTCATGTCCTCTTCATTTCCCTACCATCGGATAAAATAAACTAAGCCATCATTCAACTGAACACTGGTACGACCGGTAAATCTTCTGGATTTGTAATAAATTAAGGGATAGATGAACTCATATCGATGCAGTGTGGGAGTAATTTAATGCTCTCAAATCTTGTTTGTCATCTCAACTTCACTTCTAATGGATGATAATATCAGATTAGCGTAAAAGCTATTTAACATTTCGACTTTCTTATTTGGATATTTTGTTTTTTTGTTTTTTTTTCCAACTGACAGCGATGGAGTAATGGTATGAAAGATGAGGAACCAAGCGTGGCAACAAGCCAGCGTTGAGAACTGTTTGAGTTTGATTATCACCTCCCGCCACCAGATTCCCGAGAGCTCGTAGTGCAGCGCGCATCGTGTCACTTTCATCCAGCAAATCGATCAGTCTCTCCAACAAACGTGGTGTTGCCAGTACTGCATCAATCTGAACCAGTAACTGATATGTTCTGGGGATTATTTCACAACGAACGAATAATCTGATCGTATGCACATCTCTTTCATAATCTGCCTAAAAGACTGGTCGAACATCTGACCGCTCGGAAAAAAGCAGCTTACCTGTCCGCCACCGACACGATCATCAGCAATATATGCTATTGCCCAAGCTGCGTCCACTTTTAGTTTTGCATCATCCAAATAAAGTAAGGAACGGAGACCGATTAATGCTGATTGTACAAACTAGAAGTGAATTATCAAAATCATTTCTTGTTGTAAATTACAAAGGATAATATGCTTTTACGTGTTGTTACGGAACATGTCAAACTAACCATAAGATGGAGTGTCTGAATACCACCACGAAATATTTGTGACATAGCCCAGATAAGATTTCGTTTCCATTTCGAGTGAGCGAACGTGGGACTAATAAGAACTCCGATCATAAGCGGCAGTGCAGCACTCTCCCGTACCTGTTTTTGTAATTAGTAAGTTCGATTAAATTGGGCA